ACCGAAACAATCTCTGCCGTTGTTGTGGCCATACCTGAGAATTAAGGTATCAAGGAGACCATACCCTCCACACATGCTCCGCCCATTCCAATAGGCCACGCCCTTCTACCTGTGTCAACAAAACGGTGAAGAGTTTTTTTTTACAATGATAATGAGAGCATATGGAAAATTTTGAGGGATGTTGTGGCTTTCTATTGAATTTCATTTATTATTCCGAGAAAATCGATCGTGAATAGAACTCTACAAGGACAGAAACCGTGGCTATATCGAGTAGTTTCTACGGAATAACTCCAATATTAACCATTACTGATATTTACCTCTCTACTTTGAAGATCATTCCGTGCAATCCCGTCTTCCCGGAAAATGTGCTTTTCAAACTGTTCCCAATTGTTGGCGCATTTTTAATGTCTTTTGACAGTAATCCGACCCCATTTTGCGGGATTTCGACAGCATTTTGCCTCCTGCTTTGTGATAGGCGGATCAAACGACAAAATCGCTGCATTTTCAAATCCTCCTTTGACAAAGTAATTAGTCGTGGCAATTGCCCTTAGGGCCTAGGCCATTCATGCCCAGGTCTTCAGGAAATAAGGAATTTCGATAGTTTTACCACTAGTAGAGATTCGACTCACGATTGCTTGAAAACAACGTTGATCGTTAGTCACATATGTGAAATACCGCCACATCTGGTATCCAATAGCCTCCAGATGTTTCCGCAGGCCATTTATCAAAGAGCAGAGAAGGTTCTACAGAAAAACAAAAAGCGATCTGTGGGGAGTTATTTATGGCCAGACTTTGGCCGGCAGAAATGTTAAAGTGAAGGTGAAGGGATGCAGAAATAATTAAGAAGGTCCGAGACCCGGCACGAGAAGCGGATTAATTTCCTCATTGGATGTGAAGCGGCCAGTTCACACGACTGAGTACCCCATAGAGGAGCAAAGATCATTTATACTAAAGCATTGAAGCCTTTTGCTAGTTCAGAGCACTTGAACTACTTTATTTTCATGACTGAGAGAACGAAGGAGGTGAAACACTCGGCTTTGAAGAGCTGTGACTTACTAATATTGCAGTATTTTATTTTATATTTTTATTTTTCCAGTTTGGCTTCCGTCTAAGGGCACGTGCGAAACGGAAGTCGAACTAATTCTTTGATTATTCCCCCTCCCCCAAAATTTCTAATCTAATTTCTATGTTTTTGCTCAATCCTAACCTTTTTATTTACTAACATTGCAGTTCGCGAGACCAACAACGCTTCTTTGGATTGGAGTGAGCAAACTGGTCAGCTGATGTACAAGTCAGTGTTTTTATCCTCCCAGACAAGTCTGGTACCAATTAACCGACCCCGGAGGGATGGAAGGCTTGGTTGGCCCGGGCGACTCACGACCCAGGATTTGATCCCCGGACCGCTCGCGTGGTAAGCGTGCCACTTGCCACTACACCACTTCCGCCCACTAAAAATGAAGCAAATTTAACCTTCTAACACTTTCTTTTGCTCTTCCCCTCAAAATCCAAACGTGCCAGCCCCTTCCACCGAGACAACTACGACCCACTGTCGAGAAATTCTCTGCCGTGGCTCACCCTGCTCCGAATATTCGCCGAGTTGACGGGTCAACGGGTCATCCATTAGTAGGTCCGCGAACTCCGCAAAAACCCTACGTCATCTATGGCCAAATCTAGGTGATGCGGAACACAAAAAGCATGAACATTTAGGTAGCATGGTGTTTAAAGGCAGAATTTACGATGAAAAGTTAGCTCATTGGAAATAAGGGTAGAGGTGGTCAGTGGAGCAGGGATGAAGAAGAAACCATTTGAAACGGCCCGAAACCCGAGAAATGGGACCCCTTCCTTGCCCGTTGATTTGCGCATTGATGCGACTCTCATCGCTGTGCCCTCTTCAACACTACGCTCTCTCTCTGCTATCTAATCACTCGCCACGTATAGACCTGCGGCGAGTGATTAGATAGTCGGTGGGCGTACCCCGCCAACCGCGCCAAGAGTGAGCCATGCTAGATCAAATCTTTCGCTGCCAATTGCGCGTCGGTCAGCACCCTCAGGAGGTCCGCCTGTCTCCCAACTATGCAATTTCCCCTTCTTTGACCTTCGTTCTTATCGTGAATTCCTCCTTCAACGACGAATGGGTCATTAGGGAAAGTGTTTGGATGTGTCGATGTGAGCCTCAATTTCCTATTGACTTCCACATCACGGCAAATTACCGAAAGCATAGTGTTTTCGGATGTGCGCCGAGTCCGAACTAACCAAAACCATATGTGCGCCTCTCGCCACTACGGCAACCTGTGAACAGGGTCAAGCGAGGCGTCGAGGAAAATTTGGAAATACGACCCCCCCCCCCCGAGGCCGAAGTCCATGAAACGACCCTCTTCAAAGCCGAACTATGAAAAGGTTGTTTAATTCTCCCCCAAAACTGTTCATAAAAAAGCCCTGCTACCCCACCGTCCACAAAAAATTCATTTAAGAAGTAGCGTCAAAAGGCTGTGAAAGAAAAGAATAGAGCTATTGAACGAGTTCTATCGA